CACAGTTTATACAACAAATAAATAGCGTCATAGGCTCGTCTGCAGAGCGCAGCTGTACCTCTCGGTATGTGCATTCACGCTTTTTGCACCGCCCACACTTGAACTTGTCTGTCATTGATTCTGGTTTTCCTTCATATATCTGCTCGTTCCTGCATTGCCTGACATCAATCAGATCCTTCCAGTGCTCAGGGCATGTATGCTCCGGTGCCATGGATGCAAAGTCTCGTGGTGCAAACTCGCCATCCTTCATCCGCTGCAAAAGTCTCACATTGCCCACATAGCCATTTGGATCCAAGTTGGCGAGTGCAGAGCGTGCCTTGTTTTGATACACATTATTAAATGCTGTACAGCGCCAGTTGCGGAGAATACCTCTATCTTTAGCATAATTGATAGCCCAATTGAATACACCCACCTCTATATCCCTGCATGTATCTGTGTCAAGTCCAGTAGCCTTTTCTAGCATGCTCATAAATGTGTCCCGTGACTTTGATGAATTGAGATCCGTGGCCACCATGTTGATTGTTGCTTGCTGCTTGTTGCTTGAACGCATAGTTGCCATTTGCTGTCTTTGTGTTTCCACCCAGGTGAACATGTGAACACTAAATGTAAACATTTGGCCTTATGACTGCAGCATTTCTACACACAGGAGGTAAGTGCTGATGAACATTTCCGTCTGTGATGCCCATTGATGCCCACAAAAATAATGCAAAAACTGAAACCAATCTAAAGCTTCGATCTGACATGGTATTGAGAGTAATAGATATGGATAAGCTCATCATAACATTGTGTCCTTCACCAGAGGTGAATTATGTAGAGCTGATACTCTTGTCAAAACGATGCACCGACAATGCTCTAGCCACATCCCGCATTTTCGAGGTGAACATTCCTGAAGCAGACTTTTTGAGTCGCCTCAAGGCAATCATGAAGCAAAAAGGTATTAAATTTTTTACCAAGCGATTTAAGCGCTACCGGGTGGGTGACATGGTGTTGGAGCTCACATTGACATCCACTGATCAAGCTGGGGCTGCTGGGCCTTTGAGTGGTCAGCTGGCAGAAGGTTATGCTGCTCTCTGTCAGAGCGCTGTTTCATGCTGCATCATTGATGGGCAGGTTGTGTGTGTGGGGTACAAACGTGAAAAGGCACACATCCATCAATTCCCATGTACACGCAAAATCCACGAGGTGTGTTACATTAATCGCTTCACATTTCGGCTACATAACAGAGTGTACCTAAATTTTGAGGTACAGCAGTACCTAGACGGCTATTGTGTGCACAAGATATACCTGAACTACAACCATGATGCACAGGCAGACATTGCAAGTATCCATGCCATCCTATGTGAGTACATACATGCACTTGTGTCATGTGTGTGACCTCTCCCCCACGCTACAATAATCCATGGCATTGTTGACTGATGCACATGGCACCCACTTTTTAAAATGCTGCGAGTACTCACACAGCACTGCAATGCGCTCAGCAGCATTGACATTTGCAAACAGTGTGCGCATCATCTGACTTGCTGCCATAGTTGGCATGCACGCGATACATGGCGTGCTGGCACAGTCTGCATGTTCATACAGCTCATACACATCTGGCTTTGCCGTCTTGCGTGCATAGAATACTTTGAGGGGCGGTGACGTATTGGCTTGTGTATTTGCGGCATCATGCATTGATGATATATGTGGCTTGACAGTCACAGGCATCGGCATGCTGGCTATTGTATTGCCATCACGTTCAACTGCAGCTCCTGTGGCTTCGCCAAGCTGGTTGACAAGGTGTGCCTCATCTGTAAAAAAATTGCTTACATTCTTGTACTTGACACGGACTACTTTCTTCACAAGTGAGTCATCAAAATTCATCAAGATGTCTTTTTGATACAGAAACATGGGTTTAAACAGCAATCCACGGACTGTGTATGGGAGAAGTGGCACAATATCCTGCACAATGTGTTGCACAACCTCAAGAGACACAGGATGTCCATGAGGCCCAAGATGTCCATGAGGCCACCAAAAAGACTTGATCTCAAACTTGCAGAAGTCTAAATCTGCATCAGGACTGAACTGTTCCATGAAAAGTGAGTGCATCATCTTGATGCGGGTATCAATGGTTGTTGCCTTGAGGTGCACACCTGCCAGTAAGACCAGGTCATTACATAGGAATCGCCACCCGCCCTGAAGGTCCTTTACCATTTCACCATCGATGAGTGTACCTCCCTGCTCAAAGAGTGCATCATCAAACCATGCCCTAACGAGCACCATGCGTGGATAAAAGTATCCCTGTTGGATTTTTTTATCCACAAAAATAACTTGGTTTACAGAATTATGGCGTGTCAGGTACATCATGTATGGGTTTCCATTTGTGCGCAGGCACACCATATGAGGGAGACACTGTAATGTAGCAAGTGTGGTGGCAGAAAACTTCTCAAAATGCTTCTGGATGATACGAATTCCAGTGTGGGCTTCGATAGAAGAAAGGATTGCCTGCTTTGTGTCATCTGACTTAATGTTGAACCCTTGCTTATCACAGAATGATATCTCGCCAAGGTGCATGATTATAACAGACCCCCTTGTTTTTCTCTCTACCTCTCTTGTCTGTTGCTGGTTGATATATGTGAATCTTATTCTTAGGCTAATGATGCCACCATGTTGCACTGTTTATACAGGCATAAATGTGCACTCCTCTGCAGAAAAGGGTTGAAGTTCAAATTCATCATCTATTTGCTGCATCTCTGTCGTTTTCTGTGCGGGAGGTAAGGCCGTTCCAGATGTTGCAGAAGATGAAAATACAAACCGGTAAAGCTCCTCTTCTTTTTTGCTCTTGCAAGGGCGGCGACCCCTTCCATGCTGCTGTGCCTTCTGTGGCTGCTGTTCTTGTTCTTGGGGCTGTTGCTGCTGTGGCTGCTGTGGCTGCTGTGGCTGCTGTTCTTGTTCTTGGGGCTGTTGCTGCTGTGGTTGTGGTTCCCAACCAAAGGTATCTACTACTGCGCCTTTTACATTGAGCATACCCTGCTGCTGCTGTACACGTGTACGCTCATCAAGATACTGGCGCAATAGGAAGTGTGCAATCAGGATGATGAGGAGTATTATGACACTGTTTTTGAAGGCCTGCGCCAGCATGGCAGTTGCTAGACCCCGCAGGAAAACGGCCTATGTTATTGGCTGCTAGATGAATTACATATTGGCATGCCATCACAGGACGCAAGACCAGGTCAATGAAGCACCTACGTGTCTATGAACATACAGCATGATGGTTCTTCCACAGATGAATCCACATCTTCATCGGCTGATCCAGCCTCCCCAACAACCTGATAACCACACTTCTTGTAGTACCGTGCTCGTCTGTGTGCTTGATGTGCAAAGGGGCCAAAGGTGTCCACTATATCTATGATCAATGGTGCATGTTTCCGCTCACTTGGCCTGTCCCTCAGGATGCGGCCGACCGCCTGCACAATGTCGGTTTTGGGGCTGGCCAACACCAATGTGTCTAGCCCACGGATGTCCAGACCTTCTTGCGCCATGGCAAATGTGCCAAGGATTATGGATCGGGCTTCAGAATCCTTCAGGTCAACCTCTTTCATTCCACCTACATAATAACCCACATCACACAATCCACACGCTTTCAGCTGGGCATCCAGCATTGTCAAATGTCCACGCCGATCTGACAGAACAAGTACTTTGCGCCGTGGCTCCCTGTTCATAACAGCGTGGATGACATTCACAATTTGGCCGATGCGGGGCATGTGCTCACATATGTTGTTGACCATGCGTTGCAGGTTGGGCTTGCCGCTGGAAAGCCAGAGCTCCTTGCAGTAGGCCGGGTCAGAGTCATTGTATAGGAATGTGTGCACACAAGGGGCTAGGTGCGCCCCTGCAGCACCAGCAGTGTCATGGCCCTGTTCTGTCGCCTTGAACACAACCTCCCCAATGTGCCACAGAAACACCTTGGACATGCCATCTTTGCGCTGTATTGTTGCAGACAAGCCCAGCGAATATTTGAAATTGACCTTGGAGAGCGTGCGTGAAAATATCTCTGCACCTGTGCGGTGAACCTCGTCAACCACCACAAAGCCAAACCCAGCCATCACCTCTGGCGGGTACTCCCTCATGGCCAGGCTCTGCAGCATGGCAATTACCACATCCTTGTCCGCCACATCAACCTTGTTACCTTGAATCAGACCCACACGGGCCAGAGGGGCAAACTGTGCAAGGCGCTCCCTCCACTGCTGCACCAGGAATTCCTTGTGAACAATTACCAACGCTTTGAGGCCCAGGCGGCACACCAGGTGAATGGCAATGGCGGTCTTACCAAATGCACATGGCAGGTTGAGGACACCACCTCGGCGCAATGGGTCCCGTGTTGCATCCAAGAAACATGCCACGGGGTCACATTGCTCGGGGCGTAGCTGCCCATTGAACACCAAGGAGATGGGTTCGCCAGCTGTTAGCTCATCCATCTGAGGTAGCCCAAAGCGCTCCAGCCCAAACGCCTTGGGCATGTACAAGATGTCATTGTCCTCTGAAAACAGGGAAAACTCTTGCACCTCGGAGCCTGCTGGCCTGTAGCCTTTGGGCACAAATGGCCGCACTGTCAGCTCACGTTTGAGTGCGCCAGGTGAGCATGCACCAGAGCTGGGCAATGTTGAAAGCCTAACTCCATAGCCACGAGAACCCAAACAAGTGTCCCATCTTTTCTTCTCAGAGGTGTTGTCACTGCTGCATGCCTGAACAGAGCCCGGCTTGCCCTTTCCTTCGTTTTGTGTCGATGCTGGTGCTGCTGGTGCTGCTGGTGCTGCTGGTGCTGCTGGTGCTGCTGGTGCTGCTGGTGCTGCTGGTGCTGCTGGTGCTGCTGGTGCTGCTGGTGCTGGTGCTGGTGCTGGTGCTTTGGACACAAACTGATCAAGCGGCACAAAGTTGCTGTAAAGGTGCATTGACACTGGATGGGCTGGTCTCACTTTCTCCAGATGCCTCTCACTACAAACACCTGTATGTGACCTAAGACATGCACGAAATGGGACTCGAACCCATGAACTCTTACGAGAGTCGATCTTAAGTCGACCGCGTTTGACCACTTCGCTATTCGTGCAATACATGCTGCTTGGCCCTTACCCTTAGCCCCCTTGCGTATGTGAGCGCTAGGATGATGCATTGTTTTTCTTGTAGCTTGGCAGGAGATGGAAACGAGGGATGGACTCTTCCAATGCAGCTACAGAGGTTTTCAGGGCAGGCATCAAAGGGTTGCTGCTTGGCTACATCTTACTGATGACATCCATCAGTGTGCAGCCAGTGCACTTGCTCATAGAGTCCTCACTGTTCGTGGCGGCATATCTGTGTGCAGTGCTTGTCATTACAGCTTATGACATGATATCTGGCGCTCTGCTCATGGTGGTGCTTGCCATCTGGATTATCCAACATCACCGTGAATCAGTACAGCAACATGGTGAGCAGCTACAGTTGCAGCTGTGCGAACAATCAGACATACCCAACAGTCGCAACATTACCACCGAGCACACTACTGTGAGAGAAGAATATCATGACATGCACAGCAGCAATAGCCACAGTCACACCCGCAGCCACGGCCCCATCCGTAAATATCACCCCAGCACACGTGCAGCCACAGCAACACCTGTGCAACCCACTGCTGCTTCTGTTGCTGCTGCCCCAAATGGGACTGTTGCTCCTCACAATGCATACGAACACTCACCATACAGTCCTTACAAACCCTTTTGAACCCTTTTGAGCCTTCATGTGAAAGCTTGGGGGGTATTGGTGCTGCCAAACATTATTTCCATACAACAGTGTAGAACACAATTAACTGGTCCTATCTGCATGGCATCCCCCAACGTCATCAACTACTCGGCCGTCAACCAGGCACAGGCTGTGGAGGGCTTGCGCATGGCAGTGCGCAACATAACATCTGCAACAGTGGACAGCCAGAAGTTTGATCCCACTGTCATCAACAACATCTTCAGCAACACACAGACCAGGAACAGCTTGGGGACGTCCTCAAATACGTTTGTAAATAATCTTGCGATGGGCATTATCAAGTATGCACAAGCATCAGTCGCACTGGCAAATTACAATGACATGTACAACGCCAACCAGTACATCAGTGACAGCCTTGAGCAACAGCAGCAGCAGCTAGACGAACTGAATGGCAAGGCCCGCAGCCAGGTTATGCGGACACGGCAGCAACAAATGATCATCATGTACGACATTCAATACACACGGTTCCTCAACCGGGTCATGCTGAGTGCCCTGTTCATTACAGCAGTGTGCACTGTGATTGTTTCCCTTGCACTCAAACATGATCCGAAGATCTTGTCTGTGGCCGCTGCAGGAGGCATAAGCTGCTCTATTATTGCTGTTTACATCCTGGTCTTGCTCATCTACTTTGCCAACAATTCATATCGCCGTCACACAGACTGGAACAAGTACTACTTTGCCAAGTACACCCCCGCAGGAGGTGACCAGAGCTGCTCATCCTAGAGGTTTCGCACAGCACCCACCAAGGCGGCCACCAGCACATACAGCATCACCGCCACACTGATGCCATACACCAGCCAGGCGTCCCACCTTCTGGGGAGGGGGACAGCCAAAAGTGCCACCAGCACCACAACAATTCCCACCCACAACCAAAAATCGAATTGGTACCATGTCTTGATATTGGCCAGCTGGCGCTGCAGCGCCAGCTGACTGTTTGCGGCAGATATTAGGTTTTGCTTGTACAGGTCATATCGCTCATTGTCCGCCACCAGCTCTGAACTGACCATCTTGTTGGAGCTAGAAAGCTTGCGCACAGTGTTATAGTATGTAGGCTGCGCGTCCGCCACAATGCTATACTCTCGTTCAAGCACATTGAATGCCAGGTTGTCAATCACCTGTATCAGGAACGTCTGCATGTCGTCGCATGTAGAGTTGCATGTCGCACTGTTGTTGGCTGGCAGCCGGTCAAACAACACGACCGCAATGCGCAGGAGGAACATGTAGCAGCACAACTTGGCCAGACGATCTTCCATGAATGAGATGTTGCCCCGGGAGGGCCCCGTTGCTGATGCGGATGCAGAATATGACACAAAGGACATGAAGTAGAGAAACACATAGTAGGGGTAATAGGCTGCAAAGACGACGCAGCGCAGGGTCTGGTTTGCCCACAATGTGGTATGCAAGGCGCTGGATGGCTTGTACAGGTTCTGCAGGTAGTTTGCAACATAGGACATGTGCTTTTGCAGGTTCTTGTCATCAGGGAAGGGAACCTGCTGGTACACATCGTCGGCAATGCGCTGCGCCAGCTCTTTCTTTGATGGCAAGTCCATGTTGATGCGTGCAACAGCCGCCAAGTTGTCAAATATGCCATCACACACACACCTCACTGCCAGCAGCATCTGCATCGGCTCTGTGCACTGAATCAGCTTCGCTGGCGTGTTGAAGTATCGGCGCAGGTTGCTGATCGCAAGCACGTGCGCGCTTGTGGTGTTATACACCTTGGTAAACCTAGGCACAATAGTCGGTTTCGGGTGTGCATTGTTGAACAGCACGTTACTAAGGGTCTCAATGCCCTGGGTGGCATCAAAGCTGATTCCTGGCCGTGCCTCCAGCAGGGAGTGCAGCCGGGTCGCGACCAAGAAACGGGTCGTGTTATTTACAATGCCAGCGAGGCTGGAATCCGAACCCGGAATAACATTAAACAGGTCTATTGGAGTGTAAACGTCCGTCATCGACGCAATATGAAGATGAGTGCGTACTTGTGCTGTGAGAATTGGAGAAAAAAAGGGCCAAGGCGCGGGCCACACACCAGACCCGACACAAATCACACACACACACGGTAGGAGACAGATTCACCTGCCGTGGGGCTGATGCGTGTGATGCGCATAACCTGGCCTGGACGCACACCCAGGTAGCGGGCCTGGGGGTCACTGCGCAATATGTGTGGCAGCTGGGAGCGGCTCACATCGTACATTGACAGCACCTTTTCCGCATCTTCCTTGCTGAGCAGCTCATGTCTGGGGACGCCGGGTGCACGGGATACATTGTTGATCAGCTCGGCAATCTCAAAAATCTCCATGGATACCCCTGCTGCTGTGTACTCATTAGATATCGTGTTCAGTGTGACGGCGGTGGGCTTCTCTTGTACAATCAAAATGTGATGCCGCACATCTGACCCAATGCTGGTCAGGGACTTGCCTTGCCCTTTCAGGGACGATTGTGTGAGGAAAAACAGTTGGATGCGGTCGTCTATCACCACGCTCCCAGTGTGTGAGAACATTCTCAGCACCTCCTCTGGGAGCATCCTATCAAGGTTGCCCACCGACAGGCCCCGATCAGCCAGCATCTCCTTGATGGTCTGAAATGCTCGCAGCTTACCACTGTCCATTTTGGCCTAAGAGAGAGTGAGTGTGTGGTGGCTCTACCACCCAGCACCACCTCTTATATCATCTCAAGGATCGATACCATCCCCATCTCCCGCGTCTTCTCCCCCCCCCAATGCCACCCGCATATCGGTTGCGCAGCTTGTAACCCTTGAACCCAGCACAGCCCGATACAGTGACACCACGTCCCAGCCGCTGCTCGAGAGCCTTGCGAAACTCAGACTTTTTGGGGACCCGCACCGGCACATTGTCATCACGCACCCATACCTTGAACTCGTTAAAGGCCTCTGCAAACGTCAGGAATTGATCCGCCTTTTCGACACACTCATCTATGAAGGCAGACACGTGATCATTGTTGCTCTGGTACTCACGGGTGCAGGCCAGCACTTGCTCCGGCTCCACCACACAGTTGCTGGCCACCTGTGGCCAGTACTCCTCTAACAGCAGGGTAAGAAAGTGGCTGCACCACTGTGGAAACTTCTGGCTGAGGGTCATGTCAATGGGGAACTCATTTGCTGCTGTTGGGTTTTCACAAAACTTGGATTTAAACTCCACGACACGGAGGCGCCGCCAGGTGCCGCCATCATCACTGGGCACGCTGGGCAGGTGGTTGCACAGCAGGACGAGCTTGTACTGGGGCCGGTACTCAATGGGATCCTTGAAGAGCGCCCGACACTGGATGGTGTCGCCGCCCGTCAGCTCCTTCATCAGGCCCACATGAAGCTTCTCATCCTCACTGGGCTCCTGCAGGACCGCGAGGCGCCTACCCTTGGCGCGCGCTAGCTCAGATGTGGCAGCATTGGATGCCGCGCGCTTCTGTGTGAGCAGTGTGACCGGGAACTTGCACGTGTAGTCACCCATGGACCGCTCAAACAAATCGATACACGCAGACTTGCCGTTGGAGCCCGACCCGGTCCAGATGTGAAACTTCTGGTCCTTGCACTCGCCACTCAGGAAGCTTGCAAACAATGAAAGGAGATAGTCGCGCATCACGGGGCACGGCTGTACCTGGCTAAAGAAGCGTCGAATATGTGCAATCTCCGGGTCCGTGGGGTTGTAGGGCACATAGTTGCACCCGGTGCTGAATGACAGATAGTCATCAGGTCGGCCGTCCCGAAACTCCCGTGCAGCCAGATCGTACACACCATTCTCAAAACCAATCAGGTGTGTCTTGCTGTCCAGCTTTGCCTCAAAGCCATCCACAAAAAACATGTCTGCACACTCAGTCATGATGTTCCCCTTGTAGGGGGTGTTCTTGAGCTTCAGCGCGAGGTCCATGTACTTTTTTGCCAGCTCCTGATGCTGCTGCTGTTTGACCTTGTCGGTTGTTACAAGTGACATTTGCTGCTGGATGTTGGATGCGGTAGAGAACTCTCGCCACACATCCTCACTGATGCGTGTGCGCAAACCCCTGCCGTTATCACTCCGATGCCACCGATGGTTGCGGTACTCGTACCATATGGGAGGTCGGCTGTTACAGCATACATACTCATAGCGAAACATGTGGTACATCACGCGTGCAACATCATTGTGTGCTGCGTGTAGAGCCGCCTGCATCAAGAGCTCCTGCAGACCTGTGCGCACAACCTCCCTGTACTTATCTGGCGCGTCCTGCTTGGCCCACATGTGCAGTGTGCCCATGCCTAGGCCGTCTGCACGCATGGTGGCCCACTTGGCTTCACACTCGCCCGACTTGTACTTGGGTGACTTTTTGCTC